GGACTGGAGCTGGCTGGCAGAGGAGAGCCACCGCCAGATGCTCTGGGCTACCCCTGTGTTTTAACCTGGAGCAGTAGAGTCTGTGCTGAGACAGAGTTCTGGGACCGCCGTATCCTGGGCACTTAGTTGTGACTGGGACTTGCTCAGACGCCTGAGGTGCTGGATTTTTTTATGCTCCTTTTGACTGTTTTCTCCACATAAAAAGTTACTTCTATTCCATGTTCCCAACACACTCCTGAGGGCTTATGAGTGGGGGAAAATCTGCCTGCAAAGACTCCCAAAGCAGTTGCATTTTAACTTCCCAGACTCGGAAGTGAGAGGCCGACACTGGCTGGGGTCTCGGGCTATAATGGTTTTTATCTCAGGGCAAGCACCTCAGATGCACTTTGTTTCCCTCACCTTTGGCACCTGGCAGAAGGGTTACAGAACAGCACTCGATTTCCAATCCATTGTCCTCAGTGCTAAGTGTTGACACCGAAAGGCCTGCGAGCTTGGAGGAGATTGTGTGGCTGCCAGCTGACGGGCAGCCAGGCCCAGTAAATACATGGCCATTGGAAATGAGATAGCAAAAAAGGTCTGATGGACCAGCAGTGAGCCTGGGGCTGCTCCTACAGAAGCAATTAGCAGGTTTCTCCTTGATTTTAATGGGGGTAGGATTAGACCCAAAGCAATAAAAACACCCCAGTAAAAGACAAAGCCAAGAAGTAAATCCAAAGGTTTGAGTTTCCATGCATGGGGCTTCTCGAAAAGTAACTCACAGTATTACCGACTAGCGTGATTTTTGTCACTAGTTTTGCTTGCACTGTTTACTCCCCTTAAAGCCTAGTTCCAGGAGTCAAGGGAATAGGCGAGTGCTCAGCTTTCATTTAAAATCACATTTCTTGCCAGCGGGGTTGTAGAGAGAATTTAGAAAATGTGGCGCCCCCTACATTCCAGAAGCCAAATGTACAGCATTTCCAACGTGTGTTGTTTTAAACATCATGCTATGTGAAGACAAGATTTTTTTTTTGTGCGGTGGTGGGGAGGCAACTCATTTTTCAACACTTGAGTGTGAGCAAGATACAGCTGTAAGACACCATTTTTTGGCTTCATGTTAATTGTCCCTCGGGGATTCTTTGCCCAGTGTGCTCAGTTTTCAGGTAAAGCAGTGGTAGTTTGTAGGCTTGCTTGTCTAACTCCCAGCCTTTCGAGCTCAGCAGCCTGCAGTCCAAAGATCGAGCTGGGTCTTTTTCTCCTCGTGCACCAATATTAAAGATGCCGCAGAACATGTTCTGCCTTCACGTACATCTGTACCATGCCTCCGTCTGCAGCTGATGCCTTCAGTGGTGGTGATTGCACCGGCGTTCCTCATTGGCTCTCTGAAATGTAGTGAACAATCCTGCAGGTGATGCACAAGAGGGGCTGGGATCCAATTCACTTTCTCTTATCTGAACAGGATTTACGGGGAAAGAGAGCGTTCCAAAAACCCAGCCCTTGATGGTGCGGAGTTACCTTTTCCCATCTGCTCAGCTGTGCCCTAGGAGAATCGAGGTAGCTAATCCGCAATAGAAGTTGTCACCTTTTTTTATTCCGCGCTTGAAAAATGGCTTTGCCAGCGATCCCGCAAATGAGATTTGCGCCAGGCTTCTAGATTTGGGATGAGCGGAGGCAGCGCTTGCCCATTTCCACAGAGAGGGAGAAGGCTGTATTACATAAAGGATATTTAATGTGATGCCATCGTATGGGTTTCACGTCTGTTGGTGTGGTTACCACCCCAAACATTAAACTGCTCTGTGTGCCAATGGAACTTGAAAGGAACCGCAAAAATGTGGGCTAGACTTGCAGGTCGGCAGGTTGCTTAATGCTATCTGTGTTCCCTGCTGGCATCTCCAATAACAACTCCGTCTTTGTTTGAAGCATCTGCCTCCCAGTTGGGCAAACCATCACCAGGGCAGAGGGAGTTTCTGCCTTTTCTGGTAGACTGAGAAAGGAACGGAAAACACAGTGCGAAGAATTCTGTTCAGTTTGCACATCCGTTGCCACTGCCTATCATGCGAGAATTGTCCAACTTGCCCAAGAAAGCATGGTAGAGCTGCCTGTTCTTTGTGTATTGCCCCAGCACATCCAGAGGACACGGTGGCACAAAGGCAGTCCATGGTTGGGGAGGGATGCTGTAATTCTTGGAGGCACATGTGTACCGGAATTACTGACTTCCTCTTCTTCAATCTTTTTCCTTTCCCACTTTCTACTTCCAGGACATAACTCTCAGCTACCCTCAGGTGGCAGAATCCCAGAATGTTGCACCCAGCTCTGAAGAGTCAGATGGTTTCTTCTCTCTGGATTGACTCTCAGCTGCCTTGATGGGTTCATAACGGTTCTGAGCTGGCAGTGATGGGATGTTTTCCTCCAGAAAGTAAGTTTCATTCAGTGGGAGGGCTTGGCTGCACACTGCATATCTGACCGGCAGATCTGCTGTTTTGTTCCAGTAAAGGCCTGGTTAAGCAACAATTGCTTCATGTCTGCTATTTGCATGTGTTCATAAGAACATTTTAT